TGATTTTGTTATTTATTATGTATCGTTTACAGGGGAATATAAGAAAAGTATTAGCAACAGTTTCATGCAAACATTTTGACATTAATATTTCTAAGTAATGACCTATCTGGGAACCACTGTGCACTGTCTTCTTAATGAACACCTTTCTATGGGAAAAATGGGAAAACACCAGAACACCTCATTACTGAACGCACCGAGACGACAACCATTCGTGTCCTAAACTTTGGTACGACTGATGTTGTAGATGGAAAACCGTCTAAGATACTGGTTTTTGTGAAAACCCGGAGACTGTATGATGAGTTATAGCTCAAGAAAGGGGGACACAATAGGTCTATAGGCTTACCGCCGGAGAATATCGTAAATAACGAATACATACAAATACACGGGTTGAAATGGCGAGTAAACAAAAAAATAGTATCTGTTATCTGTGATAGTATATAATTATTCTAAAAGTGTTAGAAAGTACAATTTGTGGAAATTCTAAACAAAAAAATAAAAAGGTAAATATTTTGATATCTTCAGAAGGTATAACTTGCATTATAATTTATTACTCCAGTTAAAATTTTTTTTAGGTGAGTTCAACTACGGTAGCGAGCATAGTTTTATGACCGGTTTTGCTCGTGGGGCATAATTGGAGTTATTTCGGCTATAACGAAATTTTTTAAAGGTACATAATTATAATTTTAGAAGATGTCCATAAAACATGTAATCACTAGTTGATTAAAAAATTATACCATTAATATTGCAGATTATATTTCATCCTCTAATAGTATATGTCTATTTAATTATTTGATTATGTAACGAGCACTTTGCTTACTTTAGCAAAAAACTGAAATACTAAAATATTATGACAAAACCCCGATTTCAATATTATTTTAATGTGATTCACATGACGGCGCGGCGTCGTGAACTATATCTCGATAATTTCTGATTTCTGTCGTAGAGTGCGCTGCGGTCGTAATTTGTTGAAACCAACTGAAATGCACCAAGTCTCTATAATGTCGCAGTGATTAACTTTTCGTTTCCCCTCTACAACAACACAAAATAAATGTTTTCTTCGTTTAGACAACAAGAATTTCGTGATTCCTATGCTATTATTATTAACACGCGTTAAATAATAAAAAATATGTCGTCTAATTATACCAGGCGTATCGATAACAAGTCACTTAACTTCCGGCTGACGGACAGGTATGCGTGCCGATAACCCTAACCTATATTTTCTGCTTATATTCCCAGCGTAACGATTTTTTTTGAGGTTTGCATGTTGCACCTTAGTTTATTATGTAATTAAAAAGGGAAATATTGTTTTATGTAGAAAAAATATTAACAGTCCATTACTAAAACGATCCTAGTAATACAATTAAATTTAAAGTAAAAAATATAACTATAGACCATACACTTTTATTACTATACATAGCTGCAACTATCTGACCCGGCTAAAAATACAAAAAATGTTCATTTTTTAATTTTCCATCTAACAAAGAAAGGGTGTTTAAAAAAAACGTAGAAAAATTATTTTATATTTTATAAAGTGTGGCATAGAATTTTGAACTTTGATTACGATGTTTGGAGCAAAGTAATTACAGACCAACTGTAGTAAATACCTAGTATAGTTTTGATTTTAGGAGTTTTCTTGTATGTTTAATTTTAATTTTTATTTTTTTTATCATTTTACTTTATAGAGCAAATGCATGTAACAAATATAAAATTTAGATTAAAGTTGCAAAAATTAGTTTAAACCAAATTTTATTATCGCTATGTTGGTCACATTGCGCCGTGTTCAGCAATGTTGTCCTTTGTTATTTGACAATTATCCTAATGTCAGTCATTATTTTGTATAATAAGGTGTTGTTGTTGAATCTTTGTGAGCAATTCTCGATTTTTTGGCTATTTTCGCAGTGTTTTTTTAATTGCACTTTTCAGCACAACGACTTTTTTTAAGAACTAAATTTTCGTGTTTTTGTATTGCATTTCTTCAAATTGTGTGTTAGGTTAGTTGAAAATGTGCTGAAGCGTTTGAACAGTCGAAGCAAAGAGCTTGTAGCTTCCCTGATAAACAATTAGAACGAGAACGTGACAATAAAGGTCCTTTATTACCCTGGACTGCAGTCAGAGAAGTAAGTTTGATTGATAAGCACATTATACCACTTCCAAAGTTAGTTTTTATTAAATTATGTGATTATTAGTTTGTGCATTAATAGCACCCTCTTATAGTCTGTCCGACGAGAAGATCCTTGACAGTGATAGATGTGTCTGTCATTTTAATTTCAAAGTAGTTTATTTTATTTTACAAAGAAATAAGTTGGTACAACTGGAACGCAGAGCAGGAAATATTTAAAATTTGATTGACAAGATGACAAGTGATTACTTCAAAATATTGTGAAAAAAACTGTATAAAACTGAAAAAATGTAATCGAGTTGTTTTATTTAATAAAAACGGTATGTGTTAATACAAAACAAACAAGAACAAGACACTACATACCAAAAAAATATAAAAAAGAACTATTATTTACTTTCAAGCTTTATGAAACTACTTGCATTTATGATTATATTTATCAATATAACTTATGTACAAATACAAATTTGTAATATTCCACAGGAATAAAAAAACAACATAGGTAAAACAAACTATTTTATTAATAATAACACCTACCAAATTTTATACCTTAAAGGTTGATTAATTAACTTTAATCTTAATTTTTTTAAACCAGTACCTTTTGACATTATTTTTCTGCAGTACTAAAATCCATTATTTACCTATCGTGTGATGTCGATATTTTACAGCTACTCCAGTTTTTAGTACGTGTTTTGTTTGATCCTTCTACCATATACGAGATGCACTTATCTACGACGAAATGGTATACAAACTTGGTGGCAAATCGATGGCAACTTCATTGGTGTATAAGACAAGACTTTCTGCCTGGGCAGCGAATATTAACCATAAACTGTGCTCTGGGTCTACAGTTAATTTTCACTCGATTTATCCTCCACTTGACTTCAAAAGACACAAAACACACGTAATAATACGAATCAAAATGCATCATCTTCCAAAACGCAGGGTATTTAACAAAAGTTGACACAAAATTATAACCTATAATTTGGCAAGACTTTGACAAGCGTCAAAAATGACAAAAATCTAAAGGCGAGTTCATACGCATCGGCGTCCGTTTGTCGTTCATCGTTCCGTCAAACTAATAAAATTGAAATAGGTTCTGTCATTTTTTAAATAAACCAATAAAACTGGTTAAAAACAACAAGACACGACGCATGACGGATTTATATTTAAACCCATCCATAGATAACTTAAAAATTATTAGAAACTTTTTTTAGTAAAATAAATAGATTGGTATGGGACGTCATCTGCTTTTCTTCTGTCATCGTCTGTCGAAATCTTACCTGAGAAAAAAAACAGAGTATACTTGTTATTACCACTTATGGCGTTGTAAGATGTACATCAATAAATAACCCATAATAACGCTTAGAATAATCTTCATAATGGACTAGTTTTTGCCAATATGTAATAAGTAAAATAAGCTATAAAACAAATAAATCGATTAATTACTAAAATATTAACTATTCAATTAAAAATAAAACGTAAAACTCTTTAAAAAATGATATAGGTAATAAATATATTGTTTGTCAATTTTAAATAAAGATTCATCTCATAAATGCATCACAATCTGGCAGCGCTGTCGTTATCGCTTGTCACTCAAAGTTGATCACGTGCATCGGAATTTGTTTTGCGATTACCATAGGTTTTTTTATAGGAGCTACAAATGCCCACCGCACTATTGCCGAACCATGTATGTACGATAATAAAAAAGACATATTAATAATAAATGTGCATTTTAATCTAAAATTCAAATTCATTTCCATTCGTTATATGTGTATTAATCCAGGTAAATTGGTAAATCGGGTTTAAATATGTAATAATTATTGATTTATAGGAAACTCTATTTCACCTGAATGAAACATACGATTGTAATATTTATAATTTGTCGTTTGTTGGTCGGGAAACAATTCATTTTGTTAACAAATATCGAAAACGCGTTTACGTCGTTACTTAAAATAATGGGCAAATACATCGATTTCTGACGATATTCAATATTAATATTTTATTTCTTGCTTTAACACATTATTCTCTAATCAGATTATTTTGGATTTTTTCGAGTTCGTGTTTTAGAACCATTTGATAATAAAATACGATCGAAAAAAAAACGGCGTCAAAGACGGCTGAGGAATGACGATCGATGATAATTTCGGCGAGGGCAAGTTCTAGATGTCTTTTATTTGGTCCGAATTTTTTAATGGCGCTTACTGCCAGTTGGTTAAGAGAGAGAAGGTTGTATTTTAATTTTTTTCCATAGCAACTGTTAAAATTGCCTTATATCTATCAAAAATAGTGGATAAGAAAGTACTGAACCGCAAGGGTAGATTAAATGATACCATATGATACTTTAACAGCGAGGATAGGTTAAAAATTTTATTTCTTCTCGCATGTTTTTTAATTGCTTCCATTTTTGAAAATTTTTGTATTCATTTTCATAAGTTATTCGGGATTTAAATGGAAGTAGTTTGGATATGGCGTTTGTCGCATCAGCCTGAATATTTCTTGGTAATTTACTTAGTATTTCGTTTTGAGCTATTTCTGGCTCCAATTCAATCAGCAATCGACACGAAAGAGAATTAAAAAATATTGACCCAAAACTGACAACTAAAGAGACAGCTTTATTTACTTAGAAATCAACGCCAATCCAGCACAATATTTTTTCTACTCGTAATAAATTCCTTGAAATAATAATTTCTGAATATTTTTTAAAACGTAACTCGCTATGGAAAAAAATATTGTTTTATACACGGCGATAAAATTGCATTATCGTTTCGCGAAACTAATTCACTCGCGATTTCATCGCTCCTGAATTAATCTTTTCGGTCGACGATAAAATACCATTTTATCGTCTTGTATAAAAAAAAACAGAGGCATTAGTTTGACAAGCTCAATGGGAAGGTTGTATGGCAGTATATTAAAAGAGAGAGTTTTTGAAGAAATAGAAGAACAAGGTGGTTTACGCGCTGGGCGTTCTTGTACAGACAACATATTTGTGTTACAACAAATAATTGAAAAAAGGAGAGCTCGAAATTTGGACACGCATCTGGTATTTATAGATTTAGAGAAAGCCTATGACACGGTGCCTTTGAAGAAATTATTTGAAATCTTGGTTGAAACAAATGTGAGTAAAACATATATCAATGCAATCTGGAATATGTACAAAAATCCAAAAAGTATGATTAGACAGGGGAAGTTCCTATCGGAATCCTTCCTGACATCTAAAGGACTTAGACAGGGGTGCAGTTTATCACCTACCTTATTTAAAATATATATACAGGAGGCATTGAAAAACTGGAGAAGGAAGAGTAGAGCTATGGGAATAGAGATTGACAACCACTGTCTATCGACCTTGTTCTTTGCAGACGACCAAGTTATTGTTGCAGGTTGTGAGGAGGATGCCGACTATATGTTGAGGAAACTTGATGAAGAATACGACAGATGGGGACTCAATATCAACCTCACAAAAACCGAATACCTGAAAGTAGGAGAAGAACAAACTGAAGATCCTAAACTACACATACATGAAATTAAAAGATGTAGCGAATATAAATATTTAGGAAGTATTATATCTGAAGAAGAGAACTCCAAGAAAGATATACATAGTAGAGTTCAACAAGGTAAGAAAGTAATCGGTCTTTTAAACCCTCTCCTGTGGTCAAATAAAACATCCATCCAAACAAAGATAAGGATTTACAAAGCAATCGTAGATCCAATTTTAACATACGGTGCCGAATGCTGGTAATTTACAGCAAAAGAAAGAAGGATGGCGAGTCAGTGGAGATGGACTTTCTCAGAAGAGTATGTCGCATATCAAGGATGGCACACATTAGAAATGAGGAGATCAGGCAAAGAACAAGGCGAATATATACCAGCACCGACAACATCGAATCGAGACAGCTACTATGGTATGGGCACGTAAAAAGAATGGGAGAGGAAGATGACCAAAAAGGGCAATGGAGTATCGTCCCCAAAGCAGAAGGAAAAGAGGAAGACCTACAACTACGTGGTTAGATGGAGTAGACCAGTATATGAGAGACAGAGCTATTAACCAGGAAGAATGGCAAAATCGAGCAATATGGAGGTCGAAATGCGGGATGCGGCAGAAGCTGTAGGACCCCCGCTTTATATATATAAAAAAAAACTAATACTGAGGACACCTGACCACGAGGACACAGGTACCCACGAGGAATTAAGAGACCTAGAGGAAGACCAAACTTGAGATGAGACTACAAAGAGAATCTCCAAAAAAATCCTATATGGGTATTTCACCACTGCAAGAAAATCTACAAAATAAAATAGGTATTTTCTGTAAACACTGCTGCGTTAACCCAACGGAGGCTAATTGTCAGCGGTTAGGTTTACTGATAAACAAATTTGCCTAACGGACAAAACAATGCTTAACGTTTTGGAAAGTTTATCTCTTTCCGTCGTCGGAAGCAAAAAAATTCAAAGAATAAAAAAATATATACAATAATGCTACTATTTGAGAACACTTTAGTTTTTTAAAACAGATACGTCTACAAAACCGTTGACGTTCTGTTAAAATGACATTATATTATGTTAAACTTTAAAATTGGCCGGCCGTAGCTCCAGCGTTAGTGTGTCGATCTGCGGAGCAGAAGGTACTGGGTTCGATCCCCAGCCAGTACGGTCGCTTTATCTATTTAAATAAAAATATTTATTTATCTAAATAGAGCGACCAACGAGCCGCCACCTCAAGGAAGGCAATGGCAAACCACCTTGAGTATATTTGCCTTGTACAGTAGTGCCGTGTACAGTAGTGCCGTTCGGATTCGGCAATAAACTGTAGGTCTTGTGTACTTGTGAAACACTGATGACACACATCACAAGTACATGCGAGAGGTAGCCGACGTTCTATATAGAGTATGGCACTGTAAGAAGAAGAAACTTTAAAATTAACAACTACTACCTGATAACAATTACTTAATAAGGTAAAACCAAAAAGCTTCAAACTTTCTGTCTGATTATTTTTAATTTTTACGTATGTTATGTTTATTTATGTTATGTTCTTTAAAATCAAACAAGCGATTGTCATATGTTACTCACATCTAAGATGCATGACCAATATAATTTTTTAGATTGTATTAAAAAAGCCCCTTTTATTATTCTTTTAGAGACTATCGCTTCATTATAATTTTGGCGTTGTTTAAATCTATTCTGTGGCCTGTGTCCCATGAATGCTGACAAATATTAGATTTGTGAAAGTTACCCTTTCTTAAATAATCTTTATGTTATTTAATTCCAACATTTAAGGGTCTAGATGTTTCGCCAATATAAAACTTATCGCATTCACATGGTATTTTGTCACAAGTAGCAAAAATAAATTTTAAACGGATTGAATTATTTTATAACAGTCGAATAGCGTTGTCTTAAGGACTGCTTGATTTTATTAAGCGTTTGGTTTCGACCATTCTGTTTTTTAATAAAAGTTGTCATATTAAACTATTTTCTAGTGGTTTTTACAACGTATCCTATAACGCATTAAACGATAATTTCTTATAGTATGATATAACACTTAATAAGGCAATGCTATATGATAACAAACATATTATTTTATTAGACTCTTATACCCACCATGTAAGAGTTCTATAATATTCATATAACTAGTAGTCACAAGATCATATAATAGTTACTTAAACTTGTCTTATTAAAGTTGTATTACGTTGTATGATAGAACGTTTTATTGCGTTAAACTACGGTGCTGTATACAACACAGTTATATAGCCTTATATGATAAAATTGTGATTAACACAATAAATTCGCTGTAATATCTGCATTATAAAACTGGTAATGTATAATATAACCTCATTTTAATTTAAATGATATACCTAGTTATTTATTTTGTTATTGTTGTTGTAGCAAAAGTAATATCTACGTACGAGTATAATCAATCACAGCTATTATGAATTCTGGACAAAGTTGGAAAAAACTTAACAAACGCAGTGGTAGTTATAAAGAGCATGTAAGAAAAAACTCCTCGAAATTACGGCAAATAATCCCGAGAATTCCCTGGGTTCTCAAAAGCCAAAATCTCTCGGGTTGTCTGGCTTCTTCAAAGCATTGTTGCCACGTTGGTGTAAAAGTTTTACTGTAGTAATGTTTGTATTGTTTTATTGTTGTTTTTCCAAGTCCTTAGGTTGCCGCTCACTCGTCGGGCACGCATGCAAATATATTGCGTGCATGAATCCATGAAAATCTGATCATGTTTGTTTGTTTAAATACTAATCAAATGAGATTTGGCAGCATCTATTTGTCTCAAATCTCAATATGTCCAAAATAGTTCTATAGTGCCTGGAAATTCTGCGTAATGATAGATATTTGTCCTATACCGTTTTATTTTACAACAAAGACTTATTTAAGGGATTCATTTATAATAAAATGGTTGCATTATAATTCGCCATGTTTAAGGCAGAATTTTTGTATGGCCTATGGCCGCCATTATATGAAGCAAAATTAAAAACATCAAAATACATTGTAAAATGTTATTTTTGAGAACTATTTTGTGATAAGATTCCCACATACAGTAATAAAGTGTTTAATTAAATTAAAAACAAGAATTTTTGAAAATTTTATTTTATTTTATTATTTAAATTTATATGTAAACCTTAATCGAAATTAAAGCGCTTTAATTTTTTTCCAAATACATACCTGTAATCTACCAGTAAAATTTTCGGCGCAACAAAAATTGTCCCTACTTTTTAAACCCTATTAATGATTTTTTATATTACATATTTGTTGTACCTTGTGGCTCTACCCGCCATTTTCATTGTAGAGTAAAGTCTCCTTTTTAACAATCCACATCCTCTAGATTCATTTTACGACACGCTTAAAATATAATTTGCTCCTAATATTCTTCGGTAAAAAATAAAATACTCTTGTACCTCGCTAAATGATCAAATGTTTTTATTGTTCTGTTTCTTAGATGTGACCACGTAATACACAATAAAACTAGTTTTATAATAGTCATATAATGCTGTGTAAAATAGTTGCATAAGAGTTGTATACCCTTTTTATAGAACTTCTATACTACTAAACGGTTGTATAAAAATGGGCCTTTTTTGGTTGTAAAGTATCATATTACGGTCATATAGCACGTTATATGAATTGAGGTATCCTATAAAAATTATCACATAGCTGTATATACAACCTTTATAAAATAAAATTTGCTACTTGGGGTATATTACATTTTTTCTTTGTTGTTCAGTTTTCATTGCTTTAGTGTGTGATAAAATGGATCTAAGTGTATTTTGTGTTTTGAAAGATGTTCGTATGTTATATTGTTTTCCTATCCTTCTTATTTTTTCCGAAACGCCTCGTATGTATGGAACTGTAAGTTGTATATATTGTGTATTGTTATCATTGTGTGTATTCTGTCTATGATTTGGGGTTTGTATTTCGTTTAATGTTTTGTCGATAAAATATGGTGGATAGTCGTTTTTTATTAATGTAATTTTTATGTGGTTATGATATCTCTGTTTAGTAAATTGTCGTCTGAACATATTATTTTTGCTCTATCATATAAATACAACCAACACTTTTTTTACACGTATGCTGCGATTAGATGCGGAATTTAAATATCTGTCTGTATTTGTGGGTTTTCTGTAAACATTAATTAAAACTAAAATTAGTTTATTTTGAAACTTTGACACTAAAACATCAAGAAATGAAGAACTAAATTATCAAAACATAAAATTAATTCATTACTACCATTCAAAAGATACAGCAAACATCAAAATACACATCAGAATCACGTCAGTCATGTAATGGCTCCGAATATGCTGTCATTTTTTATGATGGACAGGCCATGAAGATGTGTCACGCCGCACCAGATTGTTCCTAACTCAATCTATCACGTTGTCGAAACAGATTTTTTGGTGCAGCAATGTTTAATCTGGTTAAAAAGGCCCTTTATTGGCTATTAAAGGCTACTCTGGCGTCATTAATAATCTCTGATGGCTGGCATATTACGATTAGGTCGACAGAAAATTTGACTTGGAGAAAGATAAAAAAAGGGGGAAAATGGAGAAGATTGGTGGAGAAACAATGAAAATTTTGATCGGAATGACAGTGTGGAAAAGTGTCTCGTTATTTAGAGCGTAATGGATTTATTAGGTGCTGAGTTAAAACACCAGAGACAAATTTCAGGATTTTTTTTTGAGAATCAGATATCGATTACAGAGTTATTTTTAGATTCTTTTTTAAAATTTATATTTTTGAAATGAAGATTTCAAACAACAACAACAAACAACAACGATAAAATTAAAATAATGTGCACTCCCCCGGAAAATCATAACAATGCTGTAAAAATCAGAGAAGAACTATTGGAATATGTAGCGAAATTCAATTACCTCGGCAGTTTGATTTCGGAAAAGGCCATTATCGACTCTGAAATTCAATACGGAATTAGCAGCGCCTCAAGAGCATTCTGGGAATTAAAAGACAGGGTTTTCTACAATCATCACTTGAGCACAAAAACGAAACTTGCAGTGTACCGAGGAATAATAACTCTCACATGTTATATGGAAACGAAACGTGGGTGCCATACCACCGACACATAAATGCATTATACAAGTTGCAACAGAGACACCTTAGACAACCGTTAAGAATCAAATGGCTCCACCATGTCTCAAACGTATCAGTCCTTCAAAAATCTTATTTGAAAAAGTCATGATTACTAAATCGCGCTTAAGTTGGACTGGACACGTATGTATGCACGATGCATGAAAACCGCCTACTGAAATATCTTCTTTACGGTGACCTTGTAGACGGTAAGAGGAAACTGGGTGAACAACTCAAAAGGTACACGGATACAAGGATATTTTCCATGGAAATTTAAACGAGATAAGCATGCAGAATCAGTAGGAGGAAGCAGTTGCCGCGTCCTTTTCTAATTTGAAG